TTTTTAAAAACCAATATGCAAATAAGTTAAAGAACGCATGTCCGAAACGTACTACCTTGAACTACCCGACCGGTGGAGGGGGTCTAAGCCTCATTGGGGGCCCTGAGCAGTATTTTGTGATCCTCACTATCTTAACAACATTTGCTTTATTCCTAACTATATTTATGTTACAAATTAAACTAAGCACAGCTGACTATTAAAGGATAACAATTTTTTGCAGATTTTGACGGCATTCTGGGTTTTATTTATTTATTTTTATTTTACAACAGGTTAAACACCACATTAGTCTTCTGTGCTTCGCCAGCCGTCCGCCTTGCTCTTTGATCTGAAACTAATTTGACACTAAGCGACAAGAGATGAAAAGAATTTGTCTTAAAAAGATACAAGTATGAACTTTGACAACACAAGCTCCACCTACCCACTTGGTGAAAACAGCACTTAATGTTATAAAAATGGAGATTTAATCGTGTGTATGTGTGTGTGGGGGTGTATAGATTCCGTGGGTGGAGTACGTGACCTTTGCACTGGCTCTTCTTGTCCGAAGAAAGAATTGGAATAGATACTAGCCTTATAATGACTCACTTAGGTTTACCTCAATCCTTTCGTGATAAAAGCATACAGATTTTTTTCTTTAAAAAAGAAAAGAAAAAAGAATCATTTGTCATTTGACTTCTCCCTCTGTCACTTTACAACTGAATTTTCTATTTTAGAAGCTAAACGATGACGTCATAATGTCTAAAAAAAACTGGCGGTAATGTTTTCTCCACCATTATGCCTGGCAGAGGATAGAAAAAAAAATTGTTTATAGTTACTTTGTTGAAACTTTTTTTTCAGTAAATAAATTTCTCTTTGCTTAAATAAAAAACAAACAAACAATTAGGCAAGTACTTCGATGTGGTGTAATTGTTAGCAAACTTGTCTCGTTAGATCAATTACAACTGAATAGTGAATTCGAACCACACTGAGTGCTCCATACTTTTGACCGTGTGCCACATCTAAGCTATGCTTAGTAAAATGGTATAAATGATTGTCGTCATTATTTATGTACTGATCAGTATTTTTTGTCAAGGATCAAAGTAATTTTGCGCTCTGCCTTAAACAACGATCCCCTAAGAGGGCGGGACACTCAGAGAGTAGCGGGAAATATCCAAGGAACGGCAAAGAAAAAAAATGAGGGCGATAAGATGGTACCAGAAAAAGATTGTTATAGACAAGCGTATGGTTGTAAGAAAGAAATACGACAACAGCAGAAATAGATTTACGTGGTTTATTTCAACAGGAACGTGTGGGTTTGGGACAGCTACCTTGTGGTAAAGTTCATAAGCCGGCTTCGGATCTAGGTCGATCTCGCATAGTAGTTCACACATGTTGACGGTGGTTGATGCTCCATGCTGACAGCTGCTGTCCGCTCGGCCTGAGCGTGATAGGTCTGTTCCTGGCCACCTGTTGACTGACAGTTGAACTTCCGTGTGACCCCTTTTATAGCGTTTTTTTATGGCTTAACAGGCTCGAAAAACGAAGCGAGTATAATTAGGAGGGAAGCATTTTTATTGGACGAAGAATAGAACACTTTAAATATTATTTTATTTTTCGACCGGAAAACGTGTGTCGGGAACATTTGTGAAGAAAGATAATGGTCATTTTGTGACGGGGCTTTGTCCTGTTCACATCCGGTTCTCGCTCTTGAGTATTTGCCTGTAAATCAGCCGAGATATGTCTTATTTTATTTTATAACAAGATCGTGGGTAGTAAGATGGCATCAGAAAAAAAGAAGAGAGCGGTAAGATGTCTTCAGAAAAAAAAAAAAAAAACTTAGATGAAATGCGACGCAGATTTCTTTATGAAGAAATGTTAGAATTTCATCAAAATTTATTTCTTAATTTCAAGTGATTTCATATTATAATCGATAAACACGATATAATGTGTGTTCTTATAAACATACACACAACACGCACATTTTTAAATCAATTCACCCCAAGCAAGGCGATAATGTCACTAAGACACAAGAGGCCACTGAAAGTGAAAGAGAATAAAAAAAATAAAACTTTTAAAGAAACCGGAAATCCAATCCTAATCAGGAAACAAAGGATAAACCCCTAATCCTGTTCAAAAGACTGGAGAGGGGACTAGAAAGAATTTCTCCTATTTTTACTTTTGTGTTTTTTTTCCAGTAATTATATCGAATGCACGAGAAACCTGATTAGCCAATGAAAATCAAAAGACATCTAAGACAAAATTGCAGAATTTCTTTTTCTCCATATCGCATTCTCTAATAAAGTTTTAATAAAAGTGAAACATGTCAAATTGATAAACGTTTCCTATTTGTTATTTATTTTATCATTCTGTCGGATCCATATCCATATTCGATCCTAACTCATATATAACAAAAGTAGAACTGAAATTCCTTTCCTGGAAACAAATTTCCTGCTATTTCAAAAATCATTGTTCTGATTCCATAATTACAGTGGCTAAGTTGATAATAGATGCTTCTTTCAGAAAATATTGTTGATTGATATTATATGTTTAGAAGAGAGTTTTATAATCTACTTGTTTTATCTGATAATGCCTGTAAATATATAAATCCTCATTAAAATAATTCTTAAACTTAAAACCATACAAGTTTTCATGTATATATGGTTTTATTACATTAAAACAAATTAATAAAATATAATTTTTCCATTACTAAAAATATATTAAAAAAGAAACTTTCCTAAAACATTCATCTCTACAAATAAAAAGGAAAAAATATTTCTTTAATTAATTAAAAAAGGAAAAGATCCTTGTCCCATTTCTTGACTGGAGGACATTAATTGGTGATAGATAAAGACATAATTAATTTTATATTTTTATAATAAATACCCATTGCAAAATCCAGTATTAAGATTAAAAGAGCATGTTTTTTTATTATTTGTAAAAAAGATATGGTACTAATGATTATAAATAGTAAAAAACAACATCAATGATTAAACCTGGAGAAAAGATGTTATCTGTTTCTCAAACATCAAATTATAAATTTGTCTTAATAATCAAAGAAGACAAATAGAAACAATAAAAAATAGATTTAATCAGTCTTCCATTTAACTAATGAAGATTGATTTGTTTTTTTTTATGGTTTATCAACCCTTTATGGGTTATTTAAATCTGAAACATATTTTGAAATGTAAGATTATATTTTTTGAAAATGAATATTGCATTAAGATTTTTTTTTTTGAGAATAACAATGATTTTTTTTTCCAGATACAAGTCCTACTATTTTAACCCATAGCTGGTGGGAGGAGAGATGGATTTAGATATTTGTGCATAAATGAACGTAGTGAATGATCATTGAAGAAAAAGGTGGCTGTTGAATGGATTGAGTTAAATATGAACGTCAATCAAAATAAATGGAAAACTTACCAAGTATCTTAATCTTCTGTACATTGCCATAGACATCGAAAAACATCCACAGTGGAAGAGTTGGGTCAACATGCATCAATGTTGTCATCTTACTTGTGTTTCTTGCATAACGAACTTCACCTGAAGAACAAAAGCAAGGAAGAGTTTAGAAAGGCGAAAATGGAATCAATGAACATTTTTTCAGAATCATTAAAAGATACAAGAGACAGAAATCGACAAAATGTTGTCTTTTTAATATTTTGGAAAAATTTTAACACTATCGCTGCTGCATTCTTATAATTGTTGCCTGGCTGTGTTGTTCCGTTCTGGGTAAAATAAGAAAAAAATTCTTCTATTTGCTGAGCATTTAGATGGTGACAGTGATTCTTCATAGGCACCGCCATTTTGGATTACGATTGGATAATCCGCAGCTAAATGATGTCCACAACACAATATAAAGATGATATTGTTTTTTTGAACATTGTATTTTGTTTCATTTTATTTATTTTCTTAAATTAATTTTTCACTCAAAGGCCCCAAAGCCACTCAAGGTAGAGGGCTAGCGAATGTTGACCTTGTTCAAACTGTTGATCATGCCAGATGACGTACGCTCTCTTACAGAAATTGCAGCTAACGTTGGATCAGTATAGTTTCAGTATAGACTGCAGGTGTGCTCTGCGGATGTTGAGCAGACACAAATGTATCTGAGATGGCATCTGCAACGGGGATCGGCTAACCGCTTTCGTAAACAAGCATAGTTGGATACGAGTATTTATATTATAAAACAAGCAATGACTACCTCTGATTTATATAAATTTTTATGCTCATTAAAGTTTTATGTCATGGGGATGTGTTTTCGTAGATTCCGTGAAAGTATGCAGTATTATGATTTTCCAAGCGTAGCTTAGATGTGGCACAAGGCTGAAAGCATGGGGTGCCCAGTGAGGATCGAACTCACTACTCAGTCGTAATTGTTCTAGCGAGACAAGCTTGCTAACCATTATACCACGCCGAGGTGCTCGCAGTATTATGGTATATGGAGGAATTAATAATAATGGAAGAGTTCTTATGGGGGATGCGCAATTTGTAACGATTGAATGGGCTGTGAATCGGATTATTTAGGTATAATATAGTAAGTGACGGCCAACCTGAACCCTTTCCCCGTTTTAGGCCTTGTGCCAAAATTGTATTTTACTTACAATAAATCTTGACCTCCTCTGAGTAGTCGATGTAGAAAATTGAAGAATGTTGATTGGATTAAATAAATGGTATTGGTCAATTTTTGAAAAAAAATAGTTGTCTTTGGAAAGAAAGAAAGTAAGCGGTGGAAAAAGAAAGAAGGCACGACTGCGTTTGGAATCATTTTTCTCATTTAAAATCGTCAAACTCATCCATGAAGAACGCAGCCTTTATTGTATTTGGATTTCTGTTTGTTTCCGTTGCTTTTATAACTTCAGCTGGTAAGCCTTTGTCGATTCTAATGACTAACTTTTATTTTGCCTTTTTTTTTCTTTGCCAGATTTCTGTTTTTTTGTGGGAGTGGGGATTAGTTTTCATCTGAAAACATTAGTTTAGTCTTTCGTTTTTTTGCCATTTTTATAAATTGCTATTCAAAATCTGTTATCATGATTACAACAAATTGGTAAATTGTCTATAAAGATATCATTTAACAGTAGGATTGCTTAAATATTTATTACCCTTGGGGAAATCTAGCCGTAGTGAAATCTTTAGGAAATTAACCTAGCAGATCGTTATAGATTTTAACTATGTGCTCCTTATTAGTAGCCTTGTGCCAAACTAAGCTAAGCTCTGTAAATATCTATAATTATTTGTTGGATTCCTTCCTTCCTCTTCGTACCATTCCCAAGCAAGGACCGTAACCTCACTACGCTAGGTGTGGTTGTTGTGGGTTCTGTAGAGTTGTCAGGCCTGAGACCATATGGTTTTGAATTTGGAGTTCACCCCAAGCAAGGCGATAATGCCACTAAGACACAAGAGTCTAATGGGAGTGAAAAAGAATTTTTCAAAATACAAATCAGGCGCACAAATAAGCACATATTCAATAGTTAAGTTTGTAAAGTCTTTTCCTTTCCTTTCAACTGTGTATACATTGATATAATTTCTTTTTGTTAAAAAATGCATTAATTGTTGGTTTAATAAACCATACCTTTGATGGTCGCTTCTTGTCGCAGTAGAAGGGTTCAAGTGGTCCAATGTCTCTGAGAGCGATACCGTCGGGAGTTCTAAACTCTTAGTAGGTCCACCCTTGGCGGTGTCGCGCCAGAAGGTTTTCAGATGGTAATTGTAAATGGTATTATTAGCCGTTTCCTTATGAGGAAATATTCAGCATTTGTTTTCGGCTGAAATTTATAAAATCTTTCTCTTAAAATACTTTTTCGGGAAAATAGATTTCTCAAATCCAGTAACTGTTATTGCTCCTTCCAGTATTAATGGCGATTTCCTTCCTAACCTTTTATTTGAAATAGTGTGGAATATGCGGGGCAATGGTTAATGACTCGGGATGAGAAATCGGAAAGTCAAGTTAGCCGGGTTTATTGCAATCACTTACGCCTAAATACCCTTGGGAAAGATATGAACTCATTTCTATTCTCTCCTCTTATGGTTTTGAATAGCAAAACAGACTGAGTCTCATAATAAATCTACCGCAGAAAGAAATGGCAAAGCTACTACGGGAAAATCTTCTGCCAAGTTAATCATAAATCGTCATGATTGCCCAAGCTTGTATCACGTACGGCACTTAACTGACTGAGTGTGGAATGTCAAGATCTTGATTATGTCACTATTTTCGGTTCAAAGTTGTTTCTCTGTGTCACACCAGAAGGTTTTTCTCACCTGAGTCCATCCTTCAAATCTGCAACACAACCATTCGTCCTTGCACTGAATACTGCTACCATATATGGTCTAGTACCCCCGATGTTCATTTCGAGGTCCTCGACAAAATCCAGAGATGGATATGCAACGTGACTAGTCCTGATCTGGCATCCCGTCTACAGTCACTTTCATACAGACGCGATGTGGCTTCCCTCTATCTTTTCTACAAATATTTTCATGGCAACTGCTGTGACGAGCTACTTTCACTGGTGTCCCAACTGCATGAATTTAAGCGTGCTACTAGGTTGGCATCTCGGTCCCACCCTTTCACTGTCAAAACAGTTAAATGTAACCGTCTCTTCTACTCCAGCAGCTTCTCTCGCACTTCTCGTCAGTGGAACTCTCTTCCTCCTACTTGCTTCCCTGGTAGCTACAATTTTCAAATATTCAAATGTCATGTCAATCGACATCTTCTGCTGACTTGATCCTGATACCCGTCCTTCTCTATATCCTTTCCTCAAACACCCCGCCCCCTTTTTACTCTTGCTTTCACTCTCCGTAACCTCTTGCGTGCTAGTGGCGCTCTCCTCTTGCTTGGGGTGAAATGCTTAAAAAAATGTACGCCTTTATATAGGCTTAAGGAACGACTCCATGAGACGGTTTTTTTAGCAAAGTCAAGTGGGTCAATGTTTACTTGTGTATAATACGAAGCCCCCTTTTTTGTCTTTAATTTTCGTATGATGCACAAGTAATCTTTCTTTCTTTCTTTCTTTCTTTCTTTCTTTCTTTCTTTCTCTTTTTTCTTTCTTTCTTTCTCTTTTTTTCTTTCTTTCTTTCTTTCTTTCTGTTTCATTTCGTTTTTATCTTTTTTCTAGATTTTTTCTTTCTTCTGATTTTATTTTTGGTTTCACAGCTGGAAGTGACAGTTTGATAAGAGTCTCCTTAACTCAATCTATGAACGGATCTAAAGAGGAAGACCAGTCCTACATGGGCAGCAACCAAGTTCAAGAGGAAGAGGAAAGCATCCCAGAATTCAAGGTAAAGAAAAAAAAAATTGAACCGAGCCAAATAAATAAACCCGTATTTCTCAAACCCTTACCATAAAAGATATCATACGTGTGTATTTGTGTGTGCGTTTCTGTGATAGTCTGGAAAATATGAGCTGTACAAAAAATTAATCAATAAAATGAAATAAAAAAAAAAGTTAGCGAAAACAATTAGAAACTAGAAAAAAGCAAATCTGATTTCTAATTTATTGTTCGCCTGGGGTGCGTAGAGATCCTATAAACTAAGCCATTGCACACTGTTCACTGATCTCACATTTAAAGTGGTTAAAGTGATTTTTTCCACTTGTGATATGATTCGAAACAACGATTTTTTTCTTCTTGGTTTCCATAATTAAATTTTTCAATTTGCGACCTCATGTTTAATGATGTAATAACTAAGCTTATAGATTATTTTTTATAGAATTCCTACGATTGGATTTTTGCACCAAATATTCCCAAATCTTTCTTTCATGCTAGTAGAATTTGAATTTTTCAAACTGTTAACAATTATATCAAACTTTAATTGTTTTTTTTTTAAACTTCTGTCCATGCTTTGCAGGTATCTGAAACGGATATTGCAAGGACAAAGAATAATATACAACAGAAGCAGACACAGTTGGTTTTGTACACCGTGGTCACCATAGCGATCATTGTGGCGGTCATTATTACTTTGATTGGCCTTTGGAATGATCCTGTGTGCTGTTTTTTTTACACCCTCTGTCCCTGCTGCCTCCTTAGCTATCCGTGCCTACTGTACCTTTCGAAAAAGTAAGTCGAAACCTGCAGTGTTGATATTTAATGTAGATAAGAAGCTAACGCAATCATGACACGCTAACACAATCTTTACAGGCTAACGCAATCATTTCAGACTAATGCAATCATTACAGTCTAACGCAATCATGAGAGACTAACGCAATCATGACACGCTAACGCAATCATGACACGCTAACACAATGTTTAGAGGCTAACGCAATCATTTCAGACTAGTGCAATCATTACAGTCTAACGCAATCATGAGAGACTAACGCAATCATAACACGCTAACGCAATCATGACACGCTAACGCAATCTTTACAGGCTAACGCAATCATTTCAGACTAGTGCAATCATTACAGTCTAACGCAGTCATGAGAGACTAACACAATCATGACACGCTAACGCAATCATGACACGCTAACACAATCTTTAGAGGCTAACGCAATCATTTCAGACTAGTGCAATCATTACAGTCTAACGCAATCATGAGAGACTAACGCAATCATGACACGCTAACGCAATCATGACACGCTAACACAATCTTTACAGGCTAACGCAATCATTTCAGACTAGTGCAATCATTACAGTCTAACGCAATCATGAGAGACTAACGCAATCATGACACGCTAACGCAATCATGACACGCTAACGCAATCTTTACAGGCTAACGCAATCATTTCAGACTAGTGCAATCATTACAGTCTAACGCAGTCATGAGAGACTAACGCAATCATGACACGCTAACACAATCTTTAGAGGCTAACGCAATCATTTCAGACTAGTGCAATCATTACAGTCTAACGCAATCATGAGAGACTAACGCAATCATGACACGCTAACACAATCTTTAGAGGCTAACGCAATCATTTCAGACTAGTGCAATCATTACAGTCTAACGCAGTCATGAGAGACTAATGCAATCATGACACGCTAACGCAATCATGACACGCTAACGCAATCTTTACAGGCTAACGCAATCATTTCAGACTAGTGCAATCATTACAGTCTAACGCAATCATGAGAGACTAACGCAATCATGACACGCTAACGCAATCGTTACACGCTAACGCAATCTTTACAAGCTAACGCAATCATTTCAGACTAATGCAATCCTTACAGGGTAACACAATGTAGACATGATAACGCAATAATTGTACACTAACGCAATCAAGACAGGCTAACACAATCGCTTCAGACTAACGCAATCATTGTACACTAACGCAATCAAGACAGGCTAACACACTCATTGCACGCTAACGCAATCATTGCATGCTAATACAATCATTCCAGGTTAATACAATTATGACAGGCTAACGGAATAATTGCAGGCCAACGGAATAATTGCAGGCTAACACACTCATTACAGGATAACGCAATCATAACAGGCTAACGCAATCGTCACAGGCTTACGCAACCATTACTTAGCAAACAATGCACTGCACAAACATTTTGAATCTTGTAGTAATTTACCGTACCCACTGCTATTTTGAGTTTTTGTCACCTTTATATAATACCATCTATTAGTTATGGGATTATAAAATTGATATAGTTTTGTTCTTACTCAGATTTGCTTCATTTCATGGCGTCATCTTTCATTTGGAAAGCAGTTGACAATTCTTCAATATTGTATCAAACAACATGAGTAGTAGGCATCCGTTTATCTCGCGAGGTAAAAGTAGCGCCCTGTTTAGTGCTTTGGAGCTGTGACTGGAATGGCCTCTCCAGGGCTCAAGCCTGGGCCATGTTATATGGAGGCCGTGCGCTACCCACACTACATGCTATCCACACCCCGCCAGCTCTCGGGTGTACTGACAAGATCCAACGGAATACACGGCATTTCTTTGAAGGAGGGTTGGCTGCATGAGTTACTGAAAAGTTGTCAGTGTTGCCCACTCCAGGTTTTCTGTCGGAATATACTTTCATAGCATTTTCCTTGAGGGAGTTACTCAATATATTCCTTCGAATGGCCTCCAACGTTGTTGTGACCATAAGATAGTTTCCAGAGAAGTGTATCGCTAATAAGCTTAAGGGAGAAGCTACCACCACAACAAAACGCGCTACTGTTTGAATCACGCGACGATCAGTGTCGCGTAGATGACTGCACGCACTTTTTAAAAAGTTCAAAAACGAATTTTACATAATTTAAATGTCTTCTCTGAAGTTAAATTGTGGTTTTATTTAAAGGATAATAGTTTAAATTAAAAAGGGAAATTATTTTATGCTTTGAATATTGCATACATTTCAAAAACAAAAATAGAAAACAATCTCTCTTCCGTCCAGTTCAATTAGCAAGTTTGAAGAACGCCGACAAAAAAGAAATTACAACAATAAAAAAAAATCAAATATCTGTTCCAAATATTAGTTTCGAAGAAAATAGTAAACTTAAGTATTCATTAATTAGATTTTATTTACTTACTTTTGCAAAAATATAACAAAAAAAAAAAAAAAATCCCCAGATTGGTATGACCTGACTTGTCAACACGTTCAAAGATCAAACAATTCTTATCTTGCAAACATGATCCTGCTTTCATCAGCTTATTCATTAGGTTAGCCGAAAAGTCTAGGCAAATTATGGAGGACACGAAGTGAGAATATTCAATGTCTAATAAACGAATGTCAGTAAATGTTGTTCGTGAAATGATTAATATTTATGAGCGTTTCTTAAATTTAAAATTTTTAATAAAACAACGTTTTTACTCTTGTCTTTAAATACTTGTTACAAAATAAAATTCTTTTATTTACCTTAATATGTCTCCCAGATGACGAAACGTGTCGGCTACGATAAGTTTTCTTTTTGTCTTTTTATTCATATTATCCTTTCACAAATATATCCTATCTGAAATTTTACATATATATAACTCTTGAGTATCTCTCGGTCCTTGGAAGTTATATTGGGTGAATAATAGTATAAAATATCAATAAAATTGCAGCACTTAAAATTATAGTTTATTCGATTTTTTAATCGAATTTACCCCAAGCAAGGCAGTAAAAGCCACTAAGGCACAAGGGGTTACTGGGTGTGAAAGAATTAAAAAGCAGAAATATTATTAAAGAGCGAGAACAATAAAAGAGTAACCAGGAAGACAGTAGATAACGATTGACATTGAATATAAGATTTTGAAGACCAAAGCTGGCCGGGACGGTGTTCAACAGGCGAGAAAAAAAAACTGTTAGCATAGAACTTATTGGCATCAAATGACAAATGGAAAAAAATCTTACATTTTGCCGACGCGTTTCGTATTCCGACTTTTTCAAGGCAAAAATGAAATCGAAATGTTTTTGCTGTTATAGTTACATTAAAAATCCAAATTTAAAAAGATAGACGCTTCTGTCTAAACCCTTTTTTTTTTTTTGTTAATGTAAATTACTTTTATAGTAAGGGATTATTATTATCATTATTTTTTTTTCCATGTCGACAATATATTTAAATTCCCAGATGATTTTTAATGTAACTATAACAACAAAAACATTTCGATTTCATTTTTGCCTTGAAAAAGTCGGAATACGAAACGTGTCGGCAAAATGTAAGATTTTTTTCCATTTGTCATTTGATGCCAATCTGTCTTGTCCACAGAATTCATCTGGGAATTTAACTATAGAACTTATTGTTATATTTAACCAATTCAACTGTAAACAGATGAGACCTTGCCGCCAATCAAGTACTGCGCTTAAATTCATAGTCTAGTTGCAATAACGAAGAGCTCTTTAAGCATAGTAATAGCCCATGAATGTTATCAACATTATATACGTTTCTATTATCGGCTTATTTTCTTCCAGGTATAGCGAACCAAAGAAGATTTTACAGAACAACTTACAAAAGTACGTCCCTGGAATATTTTATACTGATGATGGACTTTTGAAGAGATACAAACCGACAAGAAAAGAACTGCATTACTTGGTCAATATTATGTACAAATTAGAAAGTCCATAAATAAAATGGCGCCGTAGCTTTCAATCAAAATAAAGTCTTTCTTTTTCTATGGGCCGTATCCCTTCAGGACGTAGGCAATCGTGGATTTCCACAATTGCCTGTCTTTTGTAACTCTTAATAAATTATCGCTTTTTCTTATCTCTTCTAAATCTTATTCCGCCAACCGTTTACTCATGCTTGCTAATGCGTTTTTTATTCTTTCTCCCTCTTACCTTCAATCTGCCCTATGAGTATCAGATTTCTCAAGCCCCCTTTCCTCATTATGTACCCTAGAAATTTCAACTGTCTCTTCCTGGTGTTAAGCATAAGTTTTCTATTTGTTTCGGTTCATGGTATCCTCAGCATCATTCTGTGGAACCACATTTCTGTTGAATCATTTCTGCTTCATATATGAGGCCATATAGGAGGCCTGAGATTACATAACCGTTCAGTACTTTTTTCCTTGTTTCTAACGAATTTTTTCTTTTACTGAATACTCTGCTTAGCTTTTGGAAGACATCTTTCGCCTTTGGATTTCAGTGCTGAACGTTTTGTCCCCTGTTAAAATACTTCCCAGATGTTTAAATTTTTATACTCGTTTGTTTGCATGTTGGTCTCTTCTTTTGCTAACAACCATTTATTACATCTTCTTGCAATTTATGTTTAGTCTTTTCTTTTTACTTTCCTTCACTACCTTCTTTTAGTTTCCTATCTGTATCTGCTATTAACACTTAGTGGCGACTCCTGGAGTCGGGCTCAGCCCGAGTGAGTCAACGTTCAAGTATATCTCTTTTAAAGCACAAAAATCTTTCATAGTGCGTTGTTTTCAGCCGGAGCCAAAATTGTTTTAAATCCTTGCTTCAAAATATTGGCCGAAATACATTTCATTGGTATTGATCATAATAAAGAAGAAAGAAAGAAAGAATAAAAACAAAAAAAGAAAGTAAGTAAAAACAGAATGAAATAGAATTAATGTGTCTAGTCAGGCTGTGTAGATCTGAGCTCTATCGAGGCTGAAGACATACTTAATAGACAATATATTTCTTGCTTTAATTTTATAAATAATCTTGTAAAAATCTCTAATGGTTTGTATGCTCTGTTTTTCAACTTCTTATTTTATTTTAACTTATTGTTTTCAAATGTCCATTTTATATAATTTATTCCGTACAGTTTTTCTTTTTCTCTTATTCTTTAACGCTCAGTAACTCCTTTTGAGTCTTGTTAACTTTATTGCTTGAGGCGAAATGGTAAAAGAAGAGCAAGAAATTGCTTATTGAATTACAGACATCTTGGCGGAAGTTGATATAAACTAACGTGAATACATCTTTGGTTATGATCCAAGTTGAGAATCCCAACCTCCCCAGTTTGTTTTTGGCCCCCTTCCATCTCGACTGGGTCAGCTTTATTGATTCCCCATGCCCGTCTATATTTTCTTTTTTCCCTCTCTCTTAGCGAGAGAGCCTCTTGATTTTGTCCAAGGGCAGAATACAATGGCTTCTCTTTTTTTTTGAAGGGTTTGACGGGTCCTACTAACATCAGTTATGTTTATTTTTGCTGTTTTGATATTTAGTTTGTTTTGGGGTTCACCCCTCCCCTTTCATGATCATTCACCCGATTTGTATATATATATATATATATATATATATATTGTAAATAATATTTATCACCTCATTGGGATGTTTTTTTAGCCCCCCCCCAGAGGATGCGGTATTATGGTGTATGGAGGATTGATTGACGATGGATGAGTTTTTATGGTGAATGAGGAAATTGTAACGAGTGAATGAGTCGTGAATCCGATTAACTAGGTATAAGATCGTTAGTGAAGACTAGCCTCAAGCCAGTCCTCCTTTTCGGTCTTGTGCCATAATTGTATTAATTTACAATAACGTGAATACATCAAATATGACAGCTTTGAAACACCGGTTCTTGTACAATCACCAAAGTTAAGCAACGTCGAACCTGGTCAGTACCTAGATGGGTGACAGCTTGGGAATACCAGGTGCTGTAAACTTGGAGGTGCGGGGTGTGTAATGGGTGACAGGTTCGGAATTGGAAGATTGATTTACTGAAATAAGGCTTACTATTTAACCCATAGCTTGGAAAAAAGAGCTAGATTCATATTTTTTTCGGAGGATATCTACGCGTTAGTGAATATGAAGGACCCGATTTCCAATCCAGAGCCGTTATCCATTACACCACGCATCCAAGCACTTGAGATTCCCCAGCGATCACCCACCTAGGCTCGACGTTGTAAAGTGAAAAATAACTCATCACCAACAAGTCCGTGTAGTCCAAAAGCTTCTACGTGAACACTATGAAGACTGATAAATGAAGACTGTGCAGCGCCAGTCAAGTACATACTGGGGCTTTACAGGGAACCGACCATTTTGCCGGCATCTTTAGTTTGATTCTAAAAGTTTAGTCTTGCGGCCTGGGATAATTTTTCTGCGAACAATGTGACCCTTTACATTTTTTTGGTTGTACAGACCCACGATAGACACGTGACCATTCCAAGGCAATGATCAAACAGGATCAACAAAGCAAAATGTCTTTGAGTAGAAAAAGAATTCTCTGGGGTATTGAAATTCAAACAGATCCACAAATTCAAGCATTTATACCTTACAAGAAAACTGTGAAACATGAAATTCAAACGTGTGTTCATTATTACTGGCATGCTTAGAATAGTCCAGAAGAGTCTTGTGAAGATGTCAGAAGAATTGGAAAACAGGGAAAGAATTGAAATCAAGCAGACGACAGTTGCTGGGGTGCTGAAAAGTGGACATAATGTAAACAAATAATATTAATTTGTATGTGTATGTAAATGTATGTATGTGTACGCGTGTGTGTGTGTGTAAGAGAGAGAGACACACAGACAGACAGAGACAAAGACAGAGAGAGTAAGACAGACAGACAGACAGACAGATGATATGTCTGTGAGTATGTGTGTGTGTGTGTGTGTGTGTGAGAGAGAGAGAGAGAGACAGGCAGACAGACAAAGATGATATGTCTGTGATGATATGTGTGTGTGTGTGTGTGTGTGAGAGAGAGAGAGAGACAGACAGGACAGACAGAAAGTATGTGAAAGACAGCAGAGAAAGAGAAAGACAGACAGACAGACAGATGTGTGTGTGAAAGAGAGAGAGAGAGAGAGAGAGAGAGAGAGAGCAGACAGAAAGACAGACGGACTGATGGCGGTGTTGTGTGTGTGTGTGTGTGTGTGTGTGTGTGAGAGGTGAGAGAGAGAGAGAGAGAGAGAGAGAGAGAGAGAGGAGAGAGATGGCGGTGACAAATTAATTGCTTCTTTTGCGCCCGGACCGTCGACTCTATGTCCCTGCCATGTTTTTGGTGACTCTATCCGACGTTCGTCAATTTCTGCTGGTTTTCCTTGCCTTTGTTACATGGAAAGGGAAAAGTCAAATTTTGATAAGGGAAGCCGGCCGCCATTTTTTTAAATTAATGACTCAACTGACCTTCATGCCACTCAAGTAGATCGCGACACGCGCTAAAGAGGTCGTCTGCTCTTTTTCATTTTGAAATGGAAGCGACGTGTCCCCACGCAAGAGCGAATCCAAATTTACATCCATCGTGTTTCGCTGAAAGGTTATGCCAACAGAGAATTAATAATTTGCATATCGATTTCGATATACACTTTTAAAACACGACAGAGTAATGTAAAATTATTATAACAAAGATACGGACATAAAAACCTTAAGTCGCAATGGATCAATTCTGATTTCACAGGATGTCTCTGTGGAGCAATGGATAGCAGCTCGGGTTGAAGAATCGGAGAGCCGAGTTCGAATTCTAGACGAATCCATTACGTTCACTTTTGTGCTAATACCCTTGGAAAAGGCATGAATCCTCTTCACCAGACCCAGCTATGGATAAATAGCAGGACACAGGGTTCTATAGCCTTGGATGGCAACTGATCTACCGTCAAAAAATCTGCCTGTCATGTGTCGAAAGATACATGAACGCCTAAGCGTGTATCACGCATGGCACATCACTGACTGGCTATAAAGATGATAACGCAGAAGTTTATTTACACTGAATGAAAAGTGATGGAATTTTGAGAACAGATTCCGCTCATGTGAAAGAAATATTTAATTAGAAACAAAGAAATGAATGCTTAAATGTTATCCTATATGGCCAGAAATGCTGGACAATATCCTCACAGATAAAGAGGAGATTTGAGACAACAGAGATGTAGTTGTATAGAAGGAAGCCGAGTAAACGATGCATGGAGCATGTGAATAACGAGGAAGCTCTAAGGAAAATGAAGACAAAACTGAGACAGTGAGAAAGAGTTGAAATTGTTAGAGAGATAATGAGAAAAGGTTTGGAAAATTTGACACAGAACTTGTTGAAGGAAAGACGGATATTTTCATATGTTAAGCACTTCAGATCTTCTTTCTTTTTATGTGCCATGTCCTTTCGGGATGTAGGCGATCATGGCCCTCCACCCCCCTCTATCCCTTGCTGCTCTCAGCAAGTTCCTTCCCTCTGCTTCCTCCCCCAGACCACGTTCTGTCATCCACTTGCTTAAGCCCGCCAGGTAATGTCACGCGGTGCTTTCCTTTGTCTCTCTTTCCCTCTATTCAACCCGTGAGTATCAGATTCTCCAAGCCCTCCTTCCTCATTATGTGTCCCAGAAACTTCAGCTGCCTTTTCCAGATGTTAAATAATTGCCTCCTCTTTGTTTGCAACCTCTCTAAGACCTCATCTTTATTCACCCGCTCAGTCCATGATATCCTTAGCATCCTTCTGTAGAACCACATCTCCGTCGCCTCGAGTCTCTTCTTCATCTTTGAGGAAATCGTCCAACATTCGCTGCCGTAAAGAAGGACAGACGTCACGTAACAGCTCAGTAATCTTTTCTTTGTTACCAAAGAAATCCTCCTGTCTCGCAATACTCTGTCCAGCTTTTGGAATGTGTCCTTGGCCATCCCAATACGTCTACGGATCTCAGTGTCGCACTTACCGTCCTCTGTCAGAACGCTCCCCAGATATTTAAACTTCCG